GTGGGTTAGGGTTAGGGTTAGGGTTAGGGTTAGGGTTAGGCTTCTATATTTACTTGAATGATTCTGGGATGGTTACTTACCCTGCCATATTTTCCTAGTTTGTAAAGTGGGCACAATAATAGCCATATCACAGAGTGTTTATAGTGACTTAATGAGATATTACATGTAAGAGTGCTTACAACACTGCCATTTTATTAACAAATCTCAGTAAACGTAGCTAGTGTTATTGGGTTATTCTTGCTATCTATGAGTACCCACTAAAAGATGAGAAGTTTAGTTTTCCTATATTTCCTCTTACCTTCTCTCTTAGTTTTTCTATTGTTTTCCTATAATAATGTTAAATAAYTTATGTTGTATTAATTCTAGGTAGTGTCTTTTAACTTTCCTCTAAGTAAGTTAGGAAGATAAGTCCTAAATTACCCTCCATTTCTCCTTAAACAAAACAATATCCTGACTTTTACATCTTTATAACATTCCCTTTACGTTTCCATAAATTATTATGTAACTTTTCTGTGACTTGTTTATAGGTTGATGCATGATTATGTTAGTAGAATTCACTGCAGACCCAAACAGTGTGACAGGACCAGTAGAGAAGATACAGTCCTGGAGCCCTATACACCTTATCAAAGAAAACCCACAGGGTCAAATAGATATTCAGAATTTTCTTACATTTAACTAATGTACTGCAATGTAATTCACTTCATATTTGGACTATATGTTTCTTAAATGACCCTTTGATTTTCCATTAGTTTTTCTCTCTCTCTCTCTCTCTCTCTCTCTTTGTGTGTGTGTGTGTGTGTGTGTGTGTGTGTGTGTGTGTTGCCCAGGCTGACTTTGAACTCCTGGGCTCTAGAAATCCTCCTGCTTCAGCCTCCCGAGTAGCTGGGACTATAGGCATGTGCCAGCTTCCATTAGTTTCTAGTTGCCTTCTTTTTGACAAAAAATAACATATATTATTTGTGGGATTAAAACTTATCACTGCGACTTTAAGCTTATTTTTTAAATTTATTGCAGTGCTGGGGATTGAATCCAGGCCTTGCACATGCTAGGCAAGTACTTTAACACTGAGCATCACCCCATGTCCTCCTAAGCTTATTTCAGTCATAGTAACTGAAATTCAATTGGTAAGCTGGAAGTCATAGAATAAAAGAAAAAAAAATCTTTTCCTAAAGCTTGCTGACTTTCTGTTCTCATTGGGATTTATTGTTTCTTGTATGTGTTGGGTAGACCTGGGTTGATATCACTGTTTCTTGAATCCAGTGTCTTCCTCTATTTTGAAATCCTCCCTTTTCAGGGATTGGTAGGAAGAAAACTGTAAGAATGATTTATTGGGGCTGGGGATGTGGCTCAGTGGTAGAGTGCTTGCCTAGCATGCATGAGGCCTTGGGTTCCAACTCTAGCACTCACAAAAACAAAAAACAAACACCCCCCAAAACAACAAAATGATTATCTTTGTTATACTAATATGCATATTTAGGCCAGCATAGAATTCTAGGACCAAAATAATTTCCCAGAATTTTGAAGCGTTATACTTTTATCTTCTAGCAACTAGTTTGTTTGGTCGACTAAATATCTTTGCAAGGAACATTTCCTTTTTCTCCAGATGATTAGGATCTTTAATATTCTGAAATTACATGTCAGTTTGTCTACTGTAGGTATTTTTTTATCCATTTTGTGTTTCCTTGAGGTTTATTCTGATGCATATTTAATGAACATTTTTAAATTAGTAAAAGCAACAGACCCCAGGGCTGGGTAGTTCCTGGCAGCTAAGGAATTACTATATTCGATTCTCAGTTGCATTAAGGAATTGAGCTCCCTGGTCACTGGAACCTAATTGCATAGTTCTTTTTTATTTTTAAATTTAATTAATTAATTGATTGATTTTTGTGATGCTGGAATTGAACCAAGGTGCCCTACCACTGAGCTACGTCTAGCCTTCTTTGGGGGGGGGGTATAAGCAATTGAACCTAGGGGTGCTTAACCACTGAGCCACATCCTGAGCCCTTTTATGTTTTATTTAATTTGAGACAGAGTCTCCCTGAGTTGCTTAGGACCTCACTAAGTTGCCGAGGCTGGCTTTGAACTTGTGATCCTCCTGCCTCAACCTCCTGAATTCTGAGATCATAGATGTGTGCCATTGCACCCAGCTAAGCAACCTATTCTTCTGCAACAGTATATTTATTGGTTGATAGCAGAGGGCATTTTAACATATCCAATTAAACATCCAGAAGAAGAGAACATAGGGTCTGGAAGGGTCCCCAGCACAGGAACTTCTGTTCCTACAGAGCTGGGGTGTGCCACTGTCCCAGGTAAATGACTTTTGTTCAGCTTCCTGTGAGCCTGCAGGTGTCCACTGTCCAGAAGCTCCCTAAGCCCTCACCTTTGGCTTTTTTCCCTTAAATTGTAGATGGACTCAATACCTTATTTTATTCATTTTTTACTGTGGTGCTGAGGATCGAACCCTGACTTCTTCCACATGCGGGGTGAGCGCTCTCCCGCTGAGCCCCAGCCCCAGCCGACCTTTGGTTTCTTATCAGGACTCCATGGCATAGTGTTACTGAGGCATGGACACCGGGTATATAGAACACTGAATGAGAAGGGTTGTCTGGTGTCAGGAGAGGAGACCCAGCCAGGCCTTCTGTCCACATTCCTCTTGGCCTCTCTGTGCAGCTTTTTCTCTTCCATTATTGGACAAGTAGATCAAGCGTTGCTTGCAGTACAAAGGCAGGGAAGATGAGATAGTTTTTAGCTTCCTGTGACCTGCCTCAGAGAAGAAGGAGCAGGTGAAAGGAGAGCCGCAGAAGCCGGAGAAAGACGGCTGCTCGAGCCTGCACTCTCCGGAAGCGTCTGAGGTGCTTCAGGAACCAAGGAGAAAAGGCCGAGAATATGCATATCATCCCAGTGATTTGGGAAAGAATAACTAGGATTGTGGGAGTGCTGAGCTGGGAACCATGGACCCAAACCAACTAACCGACCCACAGAATGTCACCATAGTTTAAACAGTGACTTATGGAAATAATGTGAGTTTACCTGCAAAGTGACACGTCCTGAGCTACAAGAACTGGCGGGAGGAAGTGAAAGCCTGAGGACAGTGCGTTTCACTCCAGGCCCTGTGTCCATGAGCGCTGAGGCCACACTGCCCTCACCGCCACGGCGCACCCAGCAGGATCTCTGGCCTTGGCGCACACCTGGACTGATTCTGCCTGGCTGTGCCTGAGAGGCTGCTGTCTCAGCCCAGAGCTGGCTGGCATGTCCACTGGCAGCCCGACTATTTGTCCAAGGTCATTCTCCTGGGAGGTGACGCCAGCCAGGGTCCTTCTGATGGAAGCGTTGTGAGGAGAACTCCTGGGAAGCCCTGTGTTGATAGAGGGGAGCCTGGTCAGTCAGCCCACCTGCTCTGAGGGCAGATGAGGAGGTTTTAACGTTGCTGAGGTCTTGTTGCACAGTTCTCTGGAGCTCTGTTATAAACAGGTTCTGGACAAGCTGGTTGATTATGAAGTCAAACTGTGCGCATGGGTGTGTCTGTTTAGAGAGAAAGGTTGATTGTGTGTATAAAGTAGTTTTGTGTGTATATAAGTTGTGTGTAGAGAGGTTTTTTGTGTGCATAGTGAGGTTTTTTGTGTGTATGTGTAGAGGTGTTTGTAGAGAGGTTTTGTGTTTTGTAGAGAGGTTGTATGTATATATGTGTATAGAGAGGTTGTGTGTTTATACGTGTGTAGAGGTTGTGTGTATGTAGAGAGGTTTTGAGTGTGAAGAGGGTGTGTGTTCTGTAGAGGTTTTATGTATGTGTATAGAGAGGTTGTGTGTGTAGCAGTTACATGTGTAGATTATGTAGAGATTGTGTGTGTGTGTAGAGGATGTATGTGTGTAGAAAGTTATGTGAATGTGTAGAGATGGTATATGTAGAGGTTGTGTGTATAGAAAGATTATGTAAAGGTTGTGTGTGTTAGAGGTTTGTGTGTATAGAGGTTGTGTGTGTGTTGAGGTTTTGTTTGTGTGGAGAAGTTGTGTGTGTGTGTGTGTATAGGGCTTTTGTGCATATAAAGAGGTTGTGTGTGTGTGGAGAGATGGTGTGTAGAGGTTGTGTGTATAGAGAGATTGAGTAGAGGTGTGTGTATAAAGAGGTTGTGTATGTGTAGGTTGTGTGTGTGTAGAGATTGTGTGGAGAGAGGTGTGTGTGTACAGAGAGGTGTGTGTGTACAGAGAGATGGTATGTAGAGATTGTGTGTGTGGAGGTAGTGTGTGTGTATGAAGAGGTTGTATATGTGCATAGAGGTTGTGTGTAGAGAGACTGTGTAGAGTTTGTGTGTGTAGTGTGTGTAGTTGTATATGTGGAGATGTTTGTGTATAAAGAGGTTGTGTGTAGAGATTGTGTGTGCCTAAAGAGGTTGTGTGTGTAGAGAGGTTGTGTGTGTGTACAAAGAGGCCATGTATGCAGAGGTTGTGTGTGTGTATAAAGAGGTTGTGTGTATAGAGGGGTGTGTGTGTGTAGAGGTGTGTGTGTGTGGAGGTTGTGTGTGTGTGTGGGCAGGTCTCTTGCACTGGGAGGTGCCGCCTGGGGTGACCGCTCCCCTTCCTTTTCTCTGCCAGGTGCACATGACACTTAATGATAGATGTAAACCCCTCAAAGTCTGATTCTCGGATTTCCTTCACCTCAGTTATATGGTTTGCTGGCAAGAAGGTTCTGCTGTTGGGCTCTCCTGAAGTGCTTTTTCCCGGGGTCAGGGTTTATTCCTTTTGTGGGAAAATGTTGTTCTTCTGTTCCTTACTTGGTGGACTGGGGAGTAGCTCCACAGCAGGTCCCTTTGCCTACATGTGTGAGACCCTGGGTTTGATCCTCCAAAGTCTCTTATTTGGTGAGTTAATTTTAAGCGCACCTGCTCCATAGGGCAGGGCCTGAAATGCAGGTCGAGTTGGTCTTTAAACAATCTCTGCAGAGCAGGAGATGCACACAACATGATTGCAGCCAGTGTGCAGATTCAGGGAGTGTGTGTGGCACATGGGGATGTGAGCTACTGGGAGGAGGGAAGCCTTGTGTCATCCTATAACCTAACAATCTAAAAAGAAGCAAGAGAAAACCTTCCGGGCTAAGCAGACTGTTCACTTGATTTTCAAGGGCCCCAAAGCCAGCCAGTCCAGTGCCATCTGTGAGCAAGTAGCTAGTGTTTGGGGTGAAAACTCCAGCTGCTGGTTGGCGCTCTCCTGCCCAAGCAGAGCAGTCTCCCCATGAGCTCTAAGGGGGCCCCCAGGTTCCTGGGCCTTTGGCTTTCTGCCATTCCCGGGGTGGGACAAACTGACTGGGAGCTGTCCTGCACCCTCTGTCTTAAGAGCAAGAGCTCCCCCTTCTCCTGTGGGCATGGCACTTAGCTCTTGTTGGAAAATACAAACAATATAGTTTAAACCCACAAAGTATCTGATCAGCATTCAACTGCCATTATAACTTTTTCTTTAATTTTGTAATGTGTAATGATTTTTGAAGTAGCCAAAAGAATACATTCTAAAATAATTCTATGGGTAATTTTAGATAGTTAATAACTTTTTAAAATTTATATTTCTATCTTTTATTTCAGTAGGTTGATGAGTGTTTTTCTCGAAAATGAGAATTAATTACCACTGATTTAAATAGTGTCATGAAAAAGCTGCTCACTAGAACACATAAAATTAGTAATTTGGAACTTTAAAAAGTCTAACTTTATACTTTTCTTTTTAGAGAAGAACCAAAGATGATACTTGGAAATCAGATGACCTCAGAAAACACCTTTGGGTAATATATTTTAAGGATTCAAGTTGGGCCATGTGCTGTGGTGGTACACGCCTGTAATCCCAGCCTTTCAGAAGGCTGAGGCAGGAGGATCGTGAGTTCAAAGCCAGCCTCAGCAAAAGTGAGGCACTAAGCAACTCAGTGAGACCCTGTCTCTAAATAAAATACAATCCCCGGTACCCCCCTGCGGGGGGAAAAAAAAAAAAAGATTCAAACTAGGATCCATATGGAGCCTTTATGGGTTTTTTGGACACTCTTGCCTGACTCACAGCACCATACAACTCTGGTTGTATGTGGCTCATTTCAGAGGCATTTTTGACTCAAAGTGGAAGCATGTGGTTAATGCCTTTGGAACTGCATTGGGACAGTCCAGGCTGTGGGCTGCCTGTCCTGCYTTTCAGTCCAGCTGACATCTGCACACTCGGACCATCCTGGGCCAGGCACTCAGTGTGCTCCAATGTGTGGTTCTCAGTGCACAGGGCCACCGTGGTGAGGTGGACTGGAGTGCAGGTGAGATTGGGTCCTGCTATGAGTTGTGCAGTGAAGGTGTGGCTCTGCCTACAGTACAGATGCTTAAAAGGCAGCTCTATCACCTCTTCCTAATCCATGTTGTGTGCCAGCTTTGATTTGCTAACAGACACCAAAGTGTCTGACATGTGGTTTCTAGTCAGCAGTTACAAAACGAAAATAAGTGGGGATCCAGGAGCTTAGTGTTCTGAGTACCCCGCCTCAGTCTTGCTGGAATCAGAAGCAGTTGATTTTTATATTTTATATTTTAGTTGTAGTTAGACACAATATCCTTATGTTATTTATTTATTTTTATATGGTGCTGAGGATCGAACCCAGAGCCTTGCATGGGCCAGGCGAGCGCTCTACAGCTGAGCTACAACCCCAGCCCCTGAATCCAGTGTTTTTTAAGGGACTCTGATATGAGTATGATTCTCACATTCAAATACTAGGTTAATGGAGGGCTCAGTGGCACAGCGCTTGCCTGGCATGCGAGAGGCCCTGGGCTCCAGCCAGGACAGGGGAAGCAAAGTCAATGGAAGTGTGCTTTCCTGGTCAAGATGTCCTTCTCTCTCTCGCTTTAGGCGGCACGATCAGGCAGTCCCAAGGAGGAGAAGAAACACAGAGAAAGGAAGCTGCACAAGGAGTCCGAAGTGGAGCTCTCTGAACACAGGGAGCACAAGTACAGGGACCCCGACTCAGACCCTCGGCACCGGGGAAGGACGACTGGGGGAGACCCTCACCCCTCCAAGGAGAGTCCTCGTGGGGAGAGAGACCGAGAAAAACTCCGAGAGAGGAGGAGAGACACAAAAGACCGGGAGAAAGAAAAGTCGAAAGAGAAATGTCGAGAACAAGACACAGAGAAGCCTCACGGCCGAGGAAAAGACAGAGAAAAGGAAAGAGACAGGAGAGCTAGGAAGGAAGAGCTGAGGCCGACGGCTGCGCACCACAACCTCCTGGGCCGAGAGGCTCGGGACCGGCCCCTGGAGAAGGCGGAGAGGAAGATGCGCTCAGGTGCGTCCTGGGTGCTGGGTGGAAGGGGGTGGGGGAGGGGGGGGTTGGCTGGACAGTTCCTGTGCATTGAATCCAGAGGTGCTCTAGCACTGAGCCACGTCCCCAGCTATTTTTCGATTTTGAGACAAGGTCTTGCCAAGTTGCTTAGGGCCTTCCTAAGTTGCTGAAGCTGGCCTTGAATCTGCAGTCCTCCTGCCTCACCTCCCTAGTTGTTGGGATTACASATGTACACCACCAAGCCCAGCTGCATTTTCCTCTTTAGATATTGTTCATTTTTCATTTTGTTTTCTCTTCTAGTTTGCACATGTTTTAGCTTTGAACTTTAAGTTACAGGCTCCTATTGTGTGTGAGAGAGACTTTGATTTTTCTTATGCTCATTCAGTCAGTGAAGGAACAGTTAACTTTCTCTTATTTTCTAGAGTTATATTATTGAAATATATTTTAATTATCCCTTTGTGGATAAAAGGTATTTTTATCAAAAGCTCTTTGATAGAAGTATTCCTCAAACATGTCAGTCTTATTTTAAACAGTATCCAAATGCTACTTGTCTGAGTTTGTTGGAGTTCTAATTAAGGGTGCATACTTTCCCTCCCAAGTGGAAGTTTCTTTGCTATTTTTTGGTTGTGCAGATAGTCTTTGCTTTTTATCAAAATTCACTTGAGTCAACTGACATGCAACAGGAGCACATCAGAGAGTGGACAAAGGCTTTCGCCTGGCTGTGCCAGAGCTACAGAGCCAGGACGCTGTCCACTGTGTTGGTCATGTGTCATTCCTGCACAGGGCAGCTGTTTGTAGTGGGGCCTTCTGGAATACGGATGTGGTGTGGGCGTTTCTGGGCGTCATACATGGGCATTCTGTGGTGTGTGTGCCCTGGTGTGTGTGGTGGGTTAGTTGGGTTGCACTAGTAGCTAGTTTACTGCTCAATACTTCCTTTAAACATTTGGTGTTCTTGATGTTTTCTTTAGGAATGTCTCTCGTTCTCAACAGTGGCTTTTTGCCATTAACTTTGGTGGCTTTTCCTTTCCACACAGCATTGAAGAGAATTGTGCTGAGAAGACCAGTTGTGCAGCTAGACTCCTCACAGTTCCTCTGGTCTCCTTTCTAGGCCCGTCTCCTCATTTCCTTCTCCTCTGTGTCTCCCTCTGGGCAGTGTGGCCCGCTTCCCAGTCACCTTTCTCTGGCACTGAGGGATTCAGGCTCGTGGTTTAAGCTCTTGTTTGTTCCTGATGTCCAGGTTTCAGCCCAGGTAGGCCGCTCCTCACATCCCAGACTTGTGAGTCTGTCTGGGCTGTGCTGTGCAGGAGGACTAGACTACGGGTCCCTCCTCTAGAACCTGCTCCACCTTTCCAGTGGATGGCAGTGCTTTCTCCTGGGCCTCAGGTCAGAACACCTGGGGATCTTCTGACTCCACACTTTTCCTTTCAGTCTCTGGGGGAGTCCTGTGGGCTCTGCCTTCGCGGTGTGCCGGAGTCTGACCTGCATGCCTGTGTTGCAGACTTCCTGGAGAAGGACCAGTGCTCTGCAGACATTTAGTGCATGAGCTTTGCCTCAATCTCTGAAAGTTTGATTTTCCCCTTACCTTTTAAAGTGTGGGTTTTAAAAATTTTTACTTTTTATTAACATGTATTAATTGTACACATGAACAGGACTCAGTGTGCTTTTTGAACATGTATGTACAGTGTGCTGAAGTGTTGATTTTCTTAATTACAAGCTCAGTGACTTTGTGCACACTCAGAAGTGAAGCCTGGTTTTCCTTGGTGCATCAGGCATCCCCAGAAACTGGGTGCCTGGTGGAGTCCTTCCCACCCCTCCTGCAACTTCTCTCTGGGTCATGCTGGGCCCTAGCTGAACCCCCCCTCACTTGATGACTGGTACTTTAGCCTCTTGCTGGGGCAGGGCTGCACCTGGCAATCTTAGCTGTTCTGGGCCCTCCTGCCTCCTTTCTCCTCTCTCCTCTCAGTGGTGGTGGTAGTGGGGGGACAAAAGGCTATGGGGCCATGCTCTCTCCTCAGCAGATGCCAAGGGCAGGGGTGTCCTTGGAGCTTCACAGGTGGCTAAGACGACTGGCTTGGTGGGCTGATTTTCCTTCTCTGACTAGGTTCTTCTTTGCCAGGAAACCCTGGAGATGTCATGTGCTGGGCTGTTGCCCCTCTAGAATATCAGGGAAACTAGGTGCTGCCAGGTGCTCAGTAACCAACTGGAGAGGGCAGCGTTCTGCCTGCCTCTCAGATTGTGATTTCAAGTTTAGAACTAGGACTCGCCATTGTGGGGTTTGGGGAATGTGCTGGAGAGGAGGAAGGTCTGGAGTACATGCTGATGAAGGTGTCCTGTGCAGTGGAGCCTGTGGTGTGGTGCTGCGTCTTCTGATATGCTGAAGGTGGGGAAAATTAAAGATGGGTTTTGTTTTTTAGTAAGCAAAGTAAGAATTGAAGAAAAAGAAAGGCGAGATGAAGACTCTGAAAGAGGAGATGAAGACAGAGAAAGAAGATACCGAGAAAGAAAGGTACACAGGGCCCCCGAGAAAGGACCCCCTGGTGCTCCAGCGGAGGCCTGGAGCCTGACTTAGAGGCACCCGTGAGAGTCCCTGTCAGGCCGAGGCCAGCCAGCTGCTGATCCCAAGGGCAGCTCCCGGTGTTTATTACGTTTAGAAGACACAGATAAATAACGAGAAAACAAAACCCGTCTACTCCCCACCCAGAGATAATTATGATAATGTTTAAATATGTATCTGACCAGTTTGTACACATGAATGCATAGGTAATATGTAAACTTTTTTCTTAAGTTAGATTTTTACTGTTTTATAGATCATTTGAACCTGACATATCTTGGGTGTTTTCTTAAGTCATCGAATTTCTGATATTTTAATGGACACGTTTTAATGATACAGATGCATCTGTTCTGCTATTTTTGGACATGGAGATTGCTTCTGAATTTTTTTGTTGTTAAGACATCAGGGGGTGAACTTTTTACATTTAYTCATAATTATTTTCTTATGGTTAATTTCTGGAAATGAAGGTGTTGGATCAAAGTAAATGTAAACCCCATTTTCTTTACACAAAAGTCATGATTATTTGTATCACCACAGTGCAGTTCCCCCATGTCCTGGGCAGCAACGGGCCTCATCATTTTTTTTTTAATATTTATTTTTTAGTTTTAGGTGAATACAATATCTTTATTTTGGTGCTAAGGATCGAACCCAGTGCCTCACGGGTGCTAAGCAAGCACTCTACCACTTAAGCCACAACCCCAGCGCCTGGGCATCATCATTTTTAATCTTTGTTAATTTGATTCAGAAGAAATTGAATTTCTGAAGATTTTCTTTTTTTAAATATATATATATGTGTGTGTGTGTGTGTGTGTGTGTGTATATATAAATCAAGATGTTGTGTCCATCTACAACTATATATAGTTGTAGATGGACACAACATTTTTTTTTTTTTTTAAATATTTATTTATTTTTAGTATTTGGCGGACACAACATCTTTGTATGTGGTGCTGAGGATCGAACCCGGGCCGCATGCATGCCAGGCGAGCGTGCTACTGCTTGAGCCACATCCCCAGCCCCGGACACAACATCTTGATTTTACTTATTTATCTCTATGTGGTGCTGAGAATCAAACCCAGTGCCTCACGCATACAAGGCAAGCACTCTACCACTGAGCTACATCCCCAACCCTGAACATTTTCCTTTTAAAAAAAAAAAGTTTTATTTTTAATTGGCACCTAGTAGTTGTGCATATTTATAGGGTGCAGTGTGACCTTGTAACACACGTACAGTGTGTAATGATCATTGCAGCTCATTGGCGTATCCATCCCCTCAGACTTTGATTGCTTTTTTGCATTAGGGACATTGGAAACCCCCTGTACTGGCTGTTTTGAAATACTCAATTAGCTGCTGTCAGCAGCAAGTGCCCTTCTGTGCATGGAGCAGAAGTCTTCCTGTATCCCACTGCACCCTCTGGGAGTCTTGAAAAGAGTTTACTGCCCTGTTGGCAAGTTACACCTGTTGCCCTTGTTACTTTCTTGTGGCATGGCTAACTTTAAAAGTCTAATGTGCCAGTCCTCTGTGTTGCTGTTGGTTGTCTAGAATTGATTGACCTGTGGGATCTTTATTTTTATAAGTCAGTGCAGATCAGGAAGTAGGCAGGTCTGCCCTCTTGCTGCTGCAGCACCCAGCCCTTCCCTGACTCCAGCTTCTGTGAGTACCACGTCAATCTTTAGTTCCCGTTGAGTTTGTTCTGGTGAATGAATGGTGACAGTGATCTAACCTGTCTACTGAGGAGCTGGCCACACACCTGCCTTTCTTATCTTGGCCAAGGCCAGTGGGGTGGACCAGAGTCTGGGAGAACAGAGCAAAGGAGAAGAAAGAGACTGTTGGGTCCCCAGGAGGGGTGAGGGACTGTAGGGAATCACAGGGTGAGGAGGGATCCTGGATGGAGAGTCCAGAGGCCCCTGCTTGGGGTGAGGCTGGGGACATGTGTGCTGTGGGGTCTGTAGGTCTGTGGACGGTGCCCCAGAATGGAGTCTGAGCCAAAGGCTGGGTCATAATAACCTGGTACACATTCTGGTGAGTGTCATCCATATTTCCTGGGCACCCACGGTGGCTTTGGGGACCTGGGAATGACTGCAGGATGGCCCCATTTTCAAGACTCTTCGTCTGGTTGCACCATTAGTGAGGGATGTGGCCCTGCACTGAAGAGAGGAAGCATCCTGCCGTGGTGCTCGCTGAGGTGCTCCTGGGTGGCACAGAGGCTGTCTGGGAGGGGCCATAGGGCCTAGATTCTGAGTGCTGCTTTGCTTTGCTGATTGTGTCACTGAGATCTTTAACTTATAGAAATAAAAGGTTGACTTTGGTTGACATTTTTGGAGATTCTTGTCCCTGATTGACTGGTCCTATTGTCTTGGGTCTGTGGCAAGGCAGAGCATCAAGTGGGAGCACAGAATGGACTAAGCCCACTCGCCACAGACCAGGGAATAGAGAGAGAGGAAGAGACTGGGGTCCCAGAGCCTCTACTGGGAGAATGCTCCAGTGAACCAAGGACTTCCCCAGGCCCCTTCTTCTAAATGTCCACAGCACCTCCCAGTAGCGCCACCTGGAGACCAAGCCCTAACACAGAAGCCTGTGGGCACATTTAGCACCCAAGCCATCATACTAGGGAGGTATGTCAGGGTGAGGACAGTGGACCTCTGCACCTCTGTGACCTGTGGGTTCAGAGGCCAGCAGTGTGGAGTCGTGGAGCATTTTCTTTCTAGAGGTGGCAGATTGTCCTGGGGAGATACCTGCTGTGATGAGTGGTGATGGAGCAGAGGGGCAATGGTGGCTCTGAGTTCCCCGCTGTTCACCTTGGTGTAAAGGCAGGGCCACTGTCCTCGCTCATGTGCGTCTCCCTGTTGCGCTTCACAGTTGCAGTATGGGGACAGCAAAGACAACCCTCTCAAGTACTGGCTTTATAAGGAGGATGGTGAAAGAAGACACAGGAAGCCACGGGAAGCAGATCGAGAGAGGAAACACCGAGAAAAAAGCAGCACACGGGAGAAAAGAGAAAGACATTCAAAAGAAAAGAGCAACGCGTTCTCTGACAAAGAAGGGGAAGAAAGACATAAAGAAAAACGACACAAAGAAGCCTTTCATTTTGACGAGAGGCACCGAAGCAGTATGGATAAAAAAGAGAGACTGTGGAAAGAAGAGCACAGGAAAAGGGAGTCCAAGGTATGATCTTGTGCTCTGTGGGATCCCCGGTTGTCCGAGTCCGTGTGAGTGGCGGCTCTGGAGGAAGTCGGACGTGTCACGGGGTGCCTGAGAGTGGGCTTGGAGAAGGGTGGCTGATTGTGTACTGCTCTGTCTTGCCTTTTAGGAATCATGAATGCCAGTCTTTCGATTATGGTATCAGAATACTTTGGCCAGATTTGGAAATCTATTGTGAAAGTTTAAATTTAACATTCAAAAGGAAGCTGGCAGCTGGGTATGGTGGTGTACCCTGTGATCCCAACCATTGGGAGGCCAAGGAAGGAGAGTCACAGGTTCAAGGCCAGCCTCAGCAACTTGGTGAGGCCCTAGGCAATTTAGCAAGAAGACCCTATCTCAAAATAAAAAACAAAAAGGGCTGGGGATGTGGCTTAATGACTAAGCACCCCTGGGTTCAATTCCAGCCCCAAAAACAGCAAAAAAGAAGTGAATAATTATGAAGCAGTTATTGTCAACTAGAATCGGAGGTATAAATCTGCTGAAAAACAAAACAGATGAAACTATAAAACAAGCACTGGATTCCTTCCATGTATGAGTACTTCATCTCTGCAGTTGCTCAGTGTTTCCTTAGACGCACCTTGGTTTCACCTGTTCTTACGTGTGTGCTTTGTGAGCTCTCTTTCTGCAGAGTCTGAAGCTCATGTGATTTATTTGTCATGTTTCTTTTTTTTTTTTTTTTAGTTGTAGGTGGACACAATACCTTTATCTTATCTATTTATATGTGGTGCTGAGGATTGAACCCAGGGCCCGACACGTGCTAGGTGAGCATTCTACTGCTGAGCCCCAAGCCCACCCCTTAATTGTCATGTTTCTTGGTGTGCTTCCTTGAGAGTAGAGATGGCATCTGGTCAGGTGGCCCAGGTGGCATGGAGCCTGGGGAACATCCCAACCTTCTCAGCCACGGTGGGGTAGCTGAGGGCCTGGATTGGAACCAGGAGCATCTGAGCTGGGATGCATTTGTGGTAGGGATGGGCTTCAGCTGGTCAGCCCTCTGTACTGCTGTGTCATGGGTCAGTCCCCGGCCTTCGTTGCCCTCACCAGAGGCCTTCCGCAGCTGAGCGAGCTCCACAGYCCTCCTTGTGGATCAGAACACTGGTCCTGCTCCCCATGCTCTGAGAGAGCACTGTTTACACTGTGTGGTGCCTAAAGCCCATACCTTCCCTACACCTGCCCCGCTGTCGCCCCTCTAAGCCCCTTGCCGGAAAGCCAGGTGGGGCAGCTGTGGAGGCATAGCCTCGGGATAGCTTGCAAGTCTGTGTTTAAAGTCTCTTTCCCTGGATCACAACTTTTATTRTTCCCCTGACATTTTATTATGAATGTATTTATATATACAGCAAAGCTGACAGAATCTGACAGAGAATGCCCACATACCCATGTTAGATTCCTGCACGGACTTTGTTTTTTGAACTTGCCTGTTGTTCATGCCCTAGGTCATAATAAGTTATTTGAAATGACTGCTTGGCTGATGTGTATTTAATTCTGCCCCAGAAACACCTTTCCAGATATGTCTTAATACATGTATTTGGCTTTTATAAAGGTGGGTGCAGAAGTGGTCCATTAGGAACATTATTCTGCATTTTTATTAAATCACTGTCTTTAAAAGTAGTTCCAGTTGGGCTTGGTGGTGCACGCCTGTAAACCCAGCATCTTAGGAGGCTGAGGCAGGAGGGTTGCAAGTTCAAAGCCAGCCTCAGCAACTTAATGAAAGCCCTAAGCAACTTAGTGAGGCCCCTGTCTCAAAATAAAAAATAAAAGGGGCTGGGGATGTGGCTCAGTGGTTAAGTGCTTCTGGGTTCAATCCCTGGTACCAAAAAAAAAAAAAAAAAAAAAAAAAAAAAAAAAAATCCCTAAAAAACAACAACAACAAAAAAACTAGATCCAGATGTTTCTGATGACTGACAAACTTCCTTTTTTAGACTGTAGTAGAGTTGCTGCTGTGTGACGGGCCTTGTTCTAGGCACTGAGATTACAGCTGTGAACCGTAATGTGGTGGTGAGGATTGAACCCAGTGCTCTGTTCTCTAGTTAGAGAACCTGTGGGATGAGCACATGTACAGTTTGACATCAGGGGTGGTACTGAGCATTTATAGTTAGTGTTTTTCTTACTCAGGAGATGCTTTTCAACCTTGTTTCTGTTAGAGTAGTATTTCGTGTCCTGCGGGCATTCTGAGTAACTGTATCTGGATAACAGATATAAATCAGAACTGTTCCCAAGAGTGTGTGTTCTCCTTGGTCACTGCTCACTTCCTCTCGATGACGGTGTTTTTCAGTGCTGGGAATTGGACCCAAGGCATGTGCGGTATCACGGAGCTTCATACATGCCATCCATTTTTTTCTGAAATGTTTATTTTGAGACAGGGTTCTCTAATTTGCCTAAACTGGCCTTGAACTTGTGATTCTCCTGCAAGGACTCCCAACTAGTAGGGATTACAGGCGGGCCCCACCACACCTCGCCCTGTATAATTTTTTGTCCATTATTTTAATTAAATCATGCGTCTTTTATCATAAACATTATACAGTTATCGATTAGAGATGCGGTGTGGTTAAGCTGATGAATGTAGCAAGCGTTTTCCTAAAGTCATCAGCCAGGGGCCTCTTCTCTGGGACCCCGTCTGCTGTGCTTTTATTCTTTTGAAGGTCAGATCATGCTCCTTTCTGCTCGTGGTAGTAGCGGCTTTGACCATCCGTTGTAAGTTTCTGTTTCTAGTCCAGAACTACAGAGCCCGAGTCCTGAGGGACCCGGTGGCCAGGCCACAGGAGTGGGACAGTGAATTGCTGAGCCCTGTCCAGCTCTGCCTGTGAGGCCACCAGGGTCAGCAGTGTGGTCCTCCTCTGGGTGTCACAGGAGTGGAGGTAGTGGAGGTTGAAGCACCTGCCCTCACTGGCCTTGGGACCTGTCACCTGGCCCCAGGTGCAGTACTGGCTGGCAGGAGTCCAGGTCAGGACCCTCTAGCACTGCTCCTGTCTGTCCACCCCCAGGCTTAATTGTTCTAATCCAGTGGGTCAGTTTCCTCCCCTTCCTCCTGCTGTCTGCCCAGCTGCAGGTCACGCCGTGTTCCTCTTGAGCTCTACACATCGCATTCTTTTCCCTGCCTCTGTTCCGTAGACTATGACAGACTGTTCTGTTAAATGTGTAATTATATTATCATTAAATTTTTTTTAATACTTATTTTTTAGTTGTAGCTAGACACAATATCTTTATTTTATGTGTTGCTGAGGATCGAACCCAGGCCCTCGTACATGGTAGGCGAGGGCTCTACCTCTGAGCCACAGCCTCAGCCCTTATATTATTAATAATTTTAGAAATATTTTTAAATACAGAAAAGCATAAAAAAATACGAATTACCCTGTTTGGTGTGTGAGCCCTTAACCGCCTGTTCCTGAGCATGGATGGGCTGCAGTCACGCGGCTCCTTTCTCTTTGTTGTGGGAAATACTTAATACAGGAATGTATGTTTTTTCATATTCCCTCTTCCCTCTTCTCCTGCCACCCCCTGGCCTGGGTTCTCTATTCTGCTGATCTCCCTTTGATTATTCATGAGATTCCTCTTCTTTTCCTTTTTCCTCTCTAGCTTCCACATATGAGAGAAGACATATGACCCGTGACCTTCTCAGTTTGGCTTATTTTGCTTAACGTGATGTTCCCATCCGTTTTCCTGCAGATGACGTGACTTAGTTTTCTTATGGCTGAGTCAAACTCCACTGTGTGTGTACACCACATTTTCCTTATCCATCTGTTGATGGACACCTCGGCTGGTTCCGTGGTTTGGCTTTTGTGAATTGTGCTGCCATAAACATTGGTATGCCTGTGTCACTGGAGTATGACTTTAATTCTTTAGGCTAAACACTGGGGAATGGGTTGAGGTGGGTCAGATGGTGCTCCCATGCCTGGTCTTTTGAAGAACCTCCACACTGATTTCCATAGTGGCCGTACTAATTTACAGTCCCACAACAGTGGAAAAGTGATCCCTTTCCCCCACATCCTCTTCCCATTTATTGTCTAATGTGGGGTGCCGTCTACGACCCGTGCAGACAGCTAACCAAAGTCACCTGAGGAAAATTCCCAAGGCATCAGAATAAAACCCAGACACCCAGTTTACCTTTAAATCAAGCTCCAGGTGGGCTCCTCTGCCCTCGGCCTCAAGCTCCCCAAATGGGAGAGTGAGGGATCACACGAGAGGCTGGCGAGAGAGAGAGCCTGAGCACGTTCTGAGTGGACTTTTATCAGGGGACTCTAAATTCTTAGAAATTTCCATCCAATGAAGGTGAAGCGGGGCAGGGGCACAAGGACAGGTGAGAGAGTTTTCTTAGAGGTAGAACTGATAGGGTCCTTGGGGATATGGGAAGGCACACCCATGCACAGAGACACAGTGGCTCAACCCTAAACTGGGGCTACCATCTGGCTACCTAGGCAACCAGATCACAGAGGGACCGACGAAGCCACACCAATCAGAAGAGGAGACAAACGCAGCCACGTGCTAGTTTGGCCTCCCACCATGGGGATAGTTAGTAATCATCTAAAGGGGATGCAGTGTAGCTCAGTGATGGAGCACTTGTCTGGCACACAGGAGACCCTGGGTTCAATCCTCAGCATTGCAAACAGAACAAAACCAAGAAGGGAATAGCCTGGGGGCTGGGGGCTGGGGGCTGTGGTGTATCTGTGATCCCAGCTACTGGGGAGCCTGAGGCAGTAGGATCCCAACTTCAAGTTCAACCTAGGCAACTTAATGAAACTCTTTCTAAAAAAAAAAAATGTAAAGTAACTGGAGATGTAGCTCAGTAGTACAGCACGCCTGGGTTGAGTCATCAGTACTGCAAAATAAAAACCCAAACCCAAACCGTCTGATGTTCCGTCTGTGGTCAGAAGCTCATCTGTTCAACAAGGAGCCTAATACTGAATCCTAAGGTCATGAACATACTTGCTATTATGAATTATTCTGTGATGAGCAAGTTGAAATCTCACTACAGTCTTTGGTTGCTTTCCAGTTTAAGTGTAAGTGCTGCTGAAGCAAGCACTCTTTGACTATTTTCTGAGAGAGTTTTCTTAGAGGTAGAACTGATAGGTCCAAGCAAGCCTGGTGTTGTTGACTCTTTTGAAGCTTTTGTACAGGTTGCCTGTGCTTCCCAAGGACCATTCCCAGGACTCTTGCCTGCCTTCACTCCAGGGGCGCACTTCCGCCTGCTGCCTCCTCCTGCGTGTTGCGCTTCAGACGAGGCGCATGTAGCTCGACATTTCTCTTTCCAAAAATCCACTGTGTATATTGATTTATAATCTTAGAGTTTCAGTTTTATTTCAAAATATTCATTTAATTCGAGAGAAGGTTGCTTAGATATTTGTGTGTGCTGTGCTGGGGATTGAACGGAGGACCTTGTGCAGGCTAGGCAGATGCTCTACCACTGCGCCACACCCCTTCCCTTCACAAAAAATTTCATTCTGTGGGTAGTGGATCTGTGGAATAGGCATAGTCTAATTGCTTCAGAATTTGCAGTTTTAAGTAGTGTGAGGAACTTGCCAGGCGCCATCTTGACTTGTTTACAGACTCTAACAAATTGGTACATACTATGTTACTTATGTGAAATGGTTGGCTTTCTCACTTTCTCTTGCTGAGGTGATGTATAATCGCCTTGTTCAATACATTAGTTTTCTAATTTAATCAAAATAGCTAGTAAACTGTCATTTTTAAATAAGTTCCAAGGAGGGTTTGAGTGTGTGCTTGTGTTATGGGGGTGGTCACACGCCATGCACGGTGACGTGCCTCTTAATGGGTGTGCACTCTTCCTCTCTTGACAGAATGGTGAACCCAGAAGCCGAGGAACAAGTCTGAGAAGAGATGGGACTGGCAACCAGTAAGGAGATGTATATTGACTGTTAAGTGAGAAGCAGTTCTCATGGAATGCATTTTTCTTATTAGATTTAATTACACCTGGTAAATTGGAATAAATCATAGTTAAACTTTATTTTCTCTAGATTTAACCCCTCCAATCATATTTTAGGCATACTAAAGGAGCTTGGACATAACTTGCTATAGTCATATTTTGATTTTTAAGTATTTACTCATATAAATTTTTTTTCTTTATTCTTTTTCCGTGTTGGGGATGGAACTGAGGAGTGCTTTACCACTGAACTGTACCCTCAGTCCCTTTTTTTTAAAAAATATAATTTAGTTGTCAATGGATCTTTTATGTTATTTATATGTGATGCTGGGGATCGAACTTAGGGCCTCACATATGCCAGGCAAATGCTCTACCACTGAGCCACTACTCCAGCCCCCCTCCATCTTTTTGCATTTTTTGTTTTGAGGCAAGTCTTTCTAAGTTGCCCATCCTGGCGTGAAACTTTGCAATCCTCCCGCCTCAGCCTCCCAAGTCTCTGGGATTACTGGCATGCACCACCACACCCAGCTGCTCATACAAGTTTAAAGAATTGATATCCATTCTGGGGAGAACAGTTTACTTGGGAGGTTGTTGGTATGCGAGGGGTGGTGCCTCCTCTGCCTGAATTGAAAGCACCCACAGATGGGCAGTTCAATTCCTTTCTAGGTGCCAGCAAGCCTGGTGTGGCAGCAGGTAGTCCCCGCCCCGGTATTTGCAGCTTGTGAGCATACAGTGTGGTGCTTCCAGCCTGTAGACACCAGGCTCTGCTCATGGGCCTGCCAGCCTGCACTGGCAGTGAACTAGGGGGCCAGGGCCTGGAGCTTACATGTAGATTCATTTTGTATATCAGCCTTAGATTATTTCATTTGGTTATTTCCTTTCATTTCATCTTGCTGGGGATCAAACCCAGGACCTCACAAGACTGAGCAAGACCCAGCTGCCCCTGAGCTCTAGATTGTCACTGATTCTTGGTGACAGCCATATTTTGTAGTTCTTTTTTCATGCTATGCGAAAACTCAGGTGTCTTTCCCATGTTTTTATAAGCTTGAAAAAGCTAGCACTTAAACCCAGGGAGTCAAGAGTCCCACTTTTAGACTCACATCTGCTAGAGGGCATGAGGGACTGTGCTGTACTCTGATCTGTTAACTCAAGTCTTGTGTTGAGTTGGTGTGAATCTACATTGTCAAAACTGAGAATCAGTTTAAAATTTGATTCATTTTAGGCCCTGGCTAACATTGTAAAACATTATTAAAAATTAGGCATGCCTGTCATCCCAGCAGCCTGGAAGGCTGAGGCAGGAGGATTGCAAGTTCAAAGCCAGCCTCAGTAACTTAGTGAGGCCCCAAGCAACTTAGCAACACCTTGTCTCAAAATAAACATAAAAAGGAAAGGGCTGGTGATCTGACTCGGTGGGTAAATATACCTGGGTTCAATCCCCCATACCCCCTCCCCCCAAAAAAGGAAAATATTTTATTATAAACATTTAATGTGGAAATATAAATATTGTTATATTAAACATAAAATAATTTTCAGGATTGACTGAAAATTATAGAAAATTTCAAGATTTGTAAAGGATATAAATTTGCATACACAAGTTTGTTAAAATGCCGAGATTCTGCATCTACTGAGGTGTTTTCTACCTTGAGCTTCTGCTGACATAGTAAAATGTGAGAGGATGGGAGCGTGCATGGTGCCCGCCCACAGCTCTTCGCGTCACGCCCGGTGGTGCCTGGGCCTTCATGGTCTGGGCGTCCTCCTCTCACAGCCTGTTTGACAATGTTGCGCTTTCTTTCCAGGCATTCGGAGAGCGCAGCGAGGAGCAGTGGAAGGGAGAGGGATTCGCGGGGGAAGGTAAGACCCTCAGCACCACAGGGTGGGTGCTCAGGTCAGCGGCTGTCCACGTGTGGTTCCCCAGATGCGGGAAGCAGCAGCCCACGAGTGGGAGGGAACCGTGCGCAGGAGGGGCTGTGGGAGCGCTGTTTGGCTGCTGTGGCTACAGGACCCGGCCAGCACAGCGGTCCAGGAGGAAGGGTTTGTTTGGGGCTCGTGTTTCAGAGGTGTCAGTCCATGGACAGCGACTCTGTGCCTCGGAACTCGAGGTGAGGCAGGCCAGCACAGTGGAGAGTGTGGCAGAGGGAGTCGCTCACATGGGGTCAGGAAGCAGAGGGGGAGTCTCTACCGCCAAGCCACACCTCCCAGGCCCCACTTCAGGCACCACCAGGAAATCCGTCAGGGACGGAGTCAGTCTCACAACCCAGCGGTTTCTCCTCTGAACCTTGGTGCGACGTCTCACGTGAGCTTTTGTCTCACATCCAAACCCTGACAGAGGCTCAGCGCCTCACCTTGAGTGACAGAGAGGACTTCGTCTGCATAGACCTGTAGTGCGTCCAACACACCCTGTGGGGTCGGGAGCCCCYGCCAGAGGCCATGGCTCAGAAGGCACCTCAGGCACGTTCCGCCAGACCTGAGCGTGGCGCTGACTCGTGCCTGTCAGGCGTGGTGGGCCGGCAGCAAGGAAGGGAAGGCCCGAGGTGAGGGGTCGCGCAGTCCCATCCTGACGCCTGGTTGCTCACCGTGCCCTTTGTCGGGTCTCACCGTTCCTTTGGACAGCAGAGCAGGGATGCATGAGATTTAACGGGAAATGTGCACTTTCCCCTGCTGGCCTCCGCGGTCCTGGTGAGCTGTCTGGCTTGTGCCATGGGAGACGGTGACTGGGCACCAGAGCCTCGCTCATCCTGGGAGCAGGGAGGCCTGCGTGGCCCCCTGCAGGAGGAGGCAGTGCGAGCCTTGGGAGCACTGTGCTGCAGGAGACTGCAGGAGAGCAGGAGACCGACCGGCGGAGCTCAGCAGAGCATCGCCCTTGTGTGGTCCAGGCACCGTGGTGAGGCTCAGACGAGGGGCTGATAATTCTCAGAAATCGAGGTGAAGCAGGGCGGAGGGGGACGTGTGGGGAGATAGCCAGTGCCTCACTAGAGGGTCCTTCTTGCTGCCCAGGAGGAGGGTGTAAGCCACCAGAGAAGGTCAGTCAGAAACAATTAGTGAAGAACTAAAGACACAGAGTCAGACTTACAACTGTGAAGCAGAGCGCCTGATAGATCCACTCCACACAGGAGCTGGAGCTGGACCTTAAGAAATGGCTCCCATGGTCTATTTAAGGGGGTGCCTCAAAGGCAGGGGTGCCTTTCAGGGGTGGAGTCTTGCTTCCTGATGTCTTGCAGTCACCAGGTAGATTGGCATCTTAGCAGGTCACACCTGTCTCTGAGAGGCAGTGTGACTACAGCAGGTCACCCATCTCCGGTAGTTTGTGGGACCAGGCAGAGCTGAGTAGAGATTCACAGGTATTTGGGTGATCTTTCCCTGTGGGATGCCACGGGAAGTCCCCAAACACCAGAGGTTCCGATTCAAAGGCTGCAGTCGCAGTGTGGTCCACACAGCCCACAGGTGGCTCTCGACAGGAGGCTGCTACCCTCACACAGGGGAAGGGTTGATGCAGGGGGCTCCAGGCCCTGCCTAGAGCTCTGGGAGGCAAGGTGGAAGGAGCGCTGGGCCCAGGGACACCTGGATGGTGGCACATGCGTCATGGCCTTGTCCCCAGCATGGTTGAGGCTCTGGAGGAAGTGAGGGGTCTGTCCCAGACCCCACCTCTCCCTCGGGCCCTCGGACACAGTGGGCTTGGGCCCAGAGGAGAGGGTGGTGCCCCAGCTCTGGTTCCACACTCCTGTCAGTCAGCAGGTGCCGACGGAGGTGACAAGTGCAGTGTGAGTGTGGTGTGCCCAGAGGACCGTGTCTGTCTGTCGTGAGATCTAATGTTTTCAGAGCAACTTGAAGTTTACAGAGAGTTGCTTGTATTCCTGCCCCCATGCAAGCATAGCCTCCCCCACTGTGGCATCCCCTACCAGAAGGGTACCTCTGTCACACCAATGAGCCTGTGCTGACAGGTCACAGTCACTCGAGTCTGTGGTGTGCAGACTGTGGGGCTCAGTCTTGGTGCAGTGAAATAGGGGTCAGAGGGCTGGGGCTGGACCTCAGTGGTAGAGCACTTGCCTGACACCACATAAAAATAAATGAACAAAATACAGATACCATGCTCATCTACACTAAAAAAATATTAAAAAAAGAAAGAAATAGGGGTCAAACACACGACAACGTGTCCTTAGGAAGGCCCTGCTGTTCCACACACGCTCCCCTCCTTTTGTGTCCGGCCGTAGAGAACGTCCATCTTGTTGAAGTGGCTACTCCTCTCTCCACCCATAATTGCCACCGTCACCCGGTTTGCAGAGGTGGTTCGACTGTCTATTGGGAACCACGGGACTGTGGGACTGCGACCCAGATCTCCATCTTCCATTTACCTGTCTGCTCCATGTCCTGATGTCCTGCGAGGCCCAGAGCATGGGGGGACAGTGCCCTCCTGCTGGCCACCTCTCCTTTGGCCAGTTCCCCAGCTTTTAAAAATGTCTAGTCCCATATTGAGATGTCAACCACAGAACACTAGGCAGTCGGGTTGGAAGTAAGGATCTGTCTTCAAAATGCCCCCGACCGCTCCACGGCGGTAATGATCTCTGAATAAGTAGAGTCATCTGCCTGTATCTACAAAATATCTATGGTTTCTCATTCTTCTGGGTACACGTGATGTAGAGTCCACCAGTCGTGCAGTTATGTGTGTACATGGAGTAATGATGTCTGAGTCCATCTGTTATCCTCCGGTCCTCGTACCCCTCCTCTCCCCAACTCCCCATGACCTAATCTAAGGTAACTAGTCTTCCCTAGTGCTCTGCCCTATGTGAATCAGCATCTGCATATCCGAGAAAACATTCGGCCTTTGGCTTTTGGGGATTGGCTTATTTCACTTGGAATGATATTTTCCAGCTCCATCCATTTACCAGCAAATGCCATCATTTCATTCTTTGTGGCTGAGTAATATTCCATTGTGTGTGTGTGTGTGTGTGTGTGTCTATCACATTTTTTTTATCCACTCATCTGTTGAAGGACACCTCCGTGGTGGCTGAGTTTAGATATTGTACATTGAGCTGCTATGAACATTAATGTGGCTGCTGATTTCAATTCCTTTGGGTATATGCCAAGGAGTGGGGTAACTGAGTCAAATGGTGGTTCCGTTCCAAGTTTTCTGAGGTGTCTCCATAGCACTTCCATAATAGTCGCACCAGTTTTCCCACCATCTTGCTGGGATTTTGAATTTCACTGATTCTGTATGTGAAGTTGGAAGAACTGACATCTTGACAATATTGAGTCGTCATCGTCGTCACCTTTTTTTTTTTTTGTACTGGGGATTAAACCCAGGGGAGAGCACCAGTTTTCCCACCGGAGAGCTACATCCCGGTGTTTTTACGTTTTGGGACAAGGTCTAACTAAACTGCCCAGGCAGCTCAAGTAGGTGGTCCCCTCGCCTCAGCCTCCCCGGTTCTGGCGGCACAGCTGCCCTGCTGCAGCCTGACCAGACTGGCGGTCCTGCCACTGAGAACAAAGCTGGCTTCTTCTCAGTGGTGTCCCTTCTTCCTGCGCTTGTGCTGTGGAGTTAGCTAGGACCCCCGGGTGCCCGAGGGGTCAGGAGAAGGGTGTCTTGTTCCTGACTCTGAGGAGACTGGAGTTTCTCACCATTGAGAGTGACGTCAGCTGCCGAGGTTCTCCACCAAGGCCAGTCCTGTTCTGTCAGGTATTGTGGGTGCTTTTTCTGCATCTGTTGGGACATCATACAGTTTTCTCCCTTTTAATCTGTTGATGGAATGGAATGTATTGCTCTTTGAATGTTGATCCAGACAGGTCCTGGCCAGTCGTGGAGTGTGATTCTTTATACATCATCAGTTACACTTGGCACGGTTCTGTTGAGGATTTTGGCTCTGTCATACCGGGGTGGGTGTTGGTGCTAACGTATGTCTGGTTTGGTGTTACTGTCGGGTGGCCTCCGTGAATGAGCATGGCCGCTCCTCTGGAAGAGGTTGTGGGGAGTCATAGCATGTCTTCGTTGACGCAGGCCAGAGATCCTCTGGCCTCTAGCCCTAGCTGGGCCTGGTGCTCTGTGTTCCAGGAGGCCTCTGGCTGCTGAGTCAATTTCCTTCATGGACATGGGCTTATTCAGGTCATTTCTTTCTTCTGGTGTGAGTTTGGCGGCCTGTGTCCTTCAAGAGATCAGTCCATTTACCTACGTTATCGTACTGTGCCCTAAATTGTTCATAGAGTTGGTTGGTCGTCCTTTAGTTATTTAAAAATTTTTTTTGGTGGTACAGAGGATTAAACTCAAGGCTTCACATATGCTAGGCACTAAGTACTCTTCCACTGAGCTTACATCCTCGGCTGTTTAAAAACATTTTTTTTTTTTTTGAGACAGCATCTTGCTATATTGCCCAGACTGGCCCTAAACTTGTGATCATCCTGCCTCAACTTCCCACGTTGCTGGAATTACAGTTGTATACCGTGGTGCCTGGCTCTTGGTCATCCTTTTGATGCCCACGGGAGCTGTAGTTATATCCTTTCTTTTGTTTGATTTTGGTCCTCTCTTTTCCCCTCATTATCTAGGCTAGAAGCTTATCAGTTTATCGATACTTAAAACAAAGAAACAGACAACATCTGGTTCCAAGAAATTCCTCATCAGTCTCTTAGTCTTAGGGGCATATATGGGCAGAGGGGCTCTCTGTGGATAACTAGCTGATCTCGTGGCGATTGCTGCGTGGCATCTTGCTGGGTGGCATGGTRACAGGCCACACTTGGACGGATAGGTGGCCTGAGGGAGCCCTTGGCCAGCTCTGTGAGCTCCAGGCCGCACCTGCCTGTCCTCTGAGAGTTCTGCCCCTCCCTGCACTCGCGGTCCCGGCCACCAGCTTGGGGCCTCCCTCGCTCCTGTGAGTCTGCTCTCTCCGTTGTCTGCACRTTGGTTATGGCAAGGGAACATCTCTCGCTCCCCAGGGTCCCCATAGAGCCCTGTGGTTTCTAGTCCTACCTCCAGGCCCCGGAGGGCACCCTCAGGCTCCCTGCCACCTCCGGGTGCACTTGTGGCTCCTCTGACCTGCTGCTGTAGGCGTGAGATGTTGTGGTGAGCCGTTTCTGTGTACTGTGGCCGCCATTACAAGATGGCGCTGGCTCCGCTGTAGTCTGTGACAAACAACTCCTTATCAGAATGAGTTGGCACGCTGTGACTTGGCACCCTATGAGAAAAGTCCACGTGGCAGTTGTGCATTGGGGCTTTATCTGCTTTATTAAGGCTGGGGCACATAGGAGTAGTAGTAGGAGTAGTAGTAGTAGGAGTAGTGGCAGTAGGAGTAATGGTAGTAGGAATAGTAATAATAAGAGTAGTGGTAATAGGAGTAATAGTAGGAGTAGTAATAGTAGTAGTAGTAGTAGTAGAGAGAGAAAAAAGCTAAAAGACATGTCAAAATAAAGGCCTGAATAAACTGCTGAAAGAAGATTCCTGAGTTGCGTCTTCCTTGCGGGCAAGGGGTCACGACAAGATGTCGAGACCTGAACATGGATGTGGTGAGGTCAGCTTCCCTAGCAGGGTGCCCCTGAACTCCATGTCATCTAGAGGGACCCTTGAGGACAGTGCATGCCCTGTCGCAGGTGCAGGTGGGATGGAGAAGTAGGGCCAGCCCGAGAGATGCTGGGTCTCATAGTCAGGCAGGGTTGGGCCTACTCCTCTGTCTGTTCCTCACAGTGCAGGTGCGATTAGCACCRCTTAGTAGGGATGCATTTGGACACAGATAGCTGCACACTGAGGGTGTTTGCATAATGCAGTTTTCCTCATTAGAATTAGACGTGTCCGGGAAATGCTGTGTTTCCTAAGTTACACTTACACTAGCCATTTTCTTTTTTGGGTCATACCTATAAATTAACAAGTGCATATCTTTCTTTCTTCCTCTTGAAATTTTTCTTTGGATAGATCTTTTTTTGAATTTATTTTTAAATGGTGTATAAAACATAAAAATTGTTCATGTTAGTGGGGTATACACAATATTCAACATGTATGTACAGTGCATACTGTTTAGATCAGGTTAAACCTACCTGTCTCAAACATTTATCATTTTCTTTTGGTGAAAACTTTAAAAATTCTTTTCTCTAGCTTTGTGAAATGTACAGTATGTTATTGTTCTAGGTATATTCATTATAAGCATTCAAAGTCAGGTGCTGCTAGTCTTATAAATACTTACATATTTAAGTTGGCAGCATCAAATGCATCTCAGGAAGCGTGTATTTTCACTTGTTTGCAATGTTCAAGTTTGTGATTGAACGTTTTGTTTCATGTTTAATTTTCTCATGTCTAGGAAATTGATAGGGAAGACATGGAATTAGCAAATGCTGAGGCTGATGAATATTCAGTTGGTTTTGAAGATGATTTTGAAGTAAGTATAAAAGTTAAAATTTCTCTCAGCTTATGATTTGTTCTGAAAAATCACCTTCTGTGTAAAATTTCACATCCTTTCTGTCTTCTTACTACTCTTAGATGTCCATGTCTGCTAAAGTTTGACTTGGGTCGAGCTGTTCCCCATAAAAAGCTTGTTAACGCTTCTCCAGTGCTTAACAAAATGATGGGACTGAAGGGCTTTAAAGTCAGTCCACCCTTCAGTGCACTGTGACCAGACGTTTGTATGACTGTCCATGTACACTCACTTTCCCATCCTCGGGACAAATTCCTAAACACAGAGGGGCCAGTTATCTTCCCTTACATTGACAATGAATATAAAAAAAGTAAAATAAATCATAAAAGCGATTGCATTTGCAACAGCATCAGAAAGAATGAGAYACCTGGGAATAAACTCACCCAAGAAGCTGTAGGACTGGCAAACTGAGAACTACAACAGCTTGTTAAGGGACCCAGGTGTGTGGAGGGAGCGTCCGGGTGGCAGGGGTGTGGCCCACTGCTGAGCAGTTCATCTTGGGGACAAGGGCAGTCGTCCGGACAGACTGATGATCTGATGACGTCAACATCAGTGAACGCTGAAGTCTTTCTCAGCTGTGATAAGGACTCTGCCTGTCTTAGGTTGTCACGCTTTGTTCCATGTGGGTGTTACTGGACTCTGTTGTCTTAAGGGTCCCAAACCGTTGTCCTTGTTTGTAGGACTATGAAGATGACTTTGAGGTTTGTGATGGAGACGATGACAGCAGCAACGAGCCTGAGTCAACAGAAAAACCGGAAGAACTTCCTTTAGCCCAAAAAAGGGAGATACAAGAAATTCAGAAAGCCATCTACGCAGAAAACGAGAGGCTCGGGGAGCTGTCCTCAGAGCTGCTGCGGAAGCAGGGGCTGGCGGAGGGCCCCAGGGACCCCAGCGCAGGTGTGTGAGTGGTGGCCSTGCGGGGCGCTGTCAGCCGCTGGCCCACCTCCAGGCCCTCCTTCCAGTGGTGGGCAGACACCCGGCACTGCAGTCGCACCACGGTTGTGCCCTGGCCCTTGGTACTTGGGGCCGCTCAGGCATGAACCACATGTGGCGAGGGTCTTTCTGTGAGAGGCTGTAGGCCCCACGGTGCTGGTACTAGGCAGGGCTGGCTGTGGTGGGTAGCTGTCCAGCAGCAGTGTGGCCTGTCCTCCGGCCTCCTGCTGGTCTGCCTGCAGTGCTCTCCCCTTCCTGGGGACGTTCTCCTCTGTTCCTGCAGTCGACGTCAGGGCTGTCACAGGAGGCCAGCACCAGAGCACCCCGAGGRCCAGGTGCAACTCGGGGGAGGCCGTGGGAAGCTGGCTCTGGCCAGGGGTTTTCTGTGTGAAATGAGGACTGTTTACCCTGGGCTCGTGGCCTCTGGATGTGAGAACAGGAGGGGGTCCCACTGTGTGGCCCAGGCTGGCCTGGAATGTGACATCCTCCCACCTCTGCCTCGTAGGAGCCGGGATGGCAGGTGCGCCTCCTTGGCTCCCCACAGAGCTCAGAGCACTCATCCTGCAGCTGCAGTCACATGACCCTGGGTGTCACCCCACCTCTCTGTGCCTCGGTTTCCTGAAGGGCATCTGTAGTCAGGCCTTCTTCCAGGTCAGGCGGCCAACACGTGCACATGCTGGAGAGCACCAGCGCCCCACCAGCGCCAAGGAGTGTCAGTGCCGTGGGCCCGTGGTGCTGGCTCTCTGTCATGGTATACCCAGCTGTCGAGTGGTGTTGTCTTGTGTGGATACCCTGCGGCATCCTGCCGCTAGTGTGGCTGTAAACCCCAGGTGACTTTTTGCAGTGCACTCAGGTTCATTGTGGTGCTTGGGAGCTCACACATCTCCAGGAGGTAACCCAGCTCCTCTGTCTGTGGCCGAGGCGGAGCTCTGCATTGGGGTGTCTCCATTCTGTGAGGTACACTGTCTGCCACTTTCCTCATTTTCAGGACTGGTGGCCACTCCCAGGCGTGCATGTGCTTTGCCCTTGGCACACCACCTTCCCCAAACCCACTGCCCTCAGGGCCGTCCTGTGCAGCGGGCGTTCTGGCCGGGAGAGAACAGAGATGCAGTGTGTCACTTGTCATCATGAAGCTTGTTGTGACAGTGCGAGGACTGGCTCTGTGGTCTTCTGACCCCGTGGTGTGGCATCCTCTGAGCCACACCCTCTGTCTCAAAGGCCTCAAGGAAAATGAGAGAATGTGTGGTAAAGGACACTGAGAGTTTTGAAAACTAAGATAGCAAGACCTTTATTCTGTTCTTGATAAATGCAAACACATATCCAAGGGGAATAAAAGACTGATTAAGATACGTTTGCCATAAACATGTGAACATGAGCGTGGGAATAACTACACACAGGAGACCACAGGATCCCTTGAGGGAAGAGGCAGCTCACATCAGGAAGCGTGGTGGCTGGAGCTGCTCCTGCTGTGGACCTTTCTGCTCAGCCAGTCATTGGTTAGTCTAATCGTATCTTTGGAAACTTTTGAAAGTCTTCTAAGCTCATACCTACATTCTTCTTTGATTTGCACTTGTTTTTACCTGTTTTTTTTTTTTTTTTTTTTTAAAGAGAGAGAGAGAGAGAGAATTTTTAATATTTATTTTTTAGTTCTCGGCAGACACAACATCTTTGTTGGTATGTGGTGCTGAGGATCGAACCCGGGCCCCACGCATGCCAGGCGAGCGTGCTACCGCTTGAGCCACATCCCCAGCCCACCTGTTTTTTAATTTATTTCCCATTTCCTTTAGTAGAGAGCAAGAGTCCCCCTCATTTGAGGGGATGCCTTTTGAGACCCTCATGGGTGCCTGAAGTCACAGATAGCACGGAACCCCATATGTAGTGCTTTTCCCCTATACGTACAGACCTATGATGAAGTTTGGTTTGCACATTAGGCACAGTAAGCGGTTGGCAGCATTAACAGTAACAGAACAACCGTTACGATACCCCGTGATAGAAGTTAAGTGGACATGTCTCTCAAAATACTGTCCTGTACTCACCCATCATCTCGTGATTAGCTGAAGTGAGTGACATTCCTTGACACAGCCCTGGGCCACATGGGTGTCAGGACTGTCRTCTGCTTTGGGTGACCGCAGATCCTTGAGCCCCGATGATGCCGATGGCCGGGGAGCTCCACGGTTGACAGTTCTTTTTGCCGAACCCTTTGGAGAGCGCTGTCGTGGGAAGTGGTGGCCTCTTTCCTTTTAACTCACTGAGCCATTGCTGTGGGGGTTGGTGACCACATGGCGACTTCAGTGCTGCGTTGCGTGGGAGGACATAGTTCACACTCTCTTCCTTGAGTGTCCTGCCGTGTAAAGCACTTTGGTGAGTTTGGGTGACGTCCATGCTGCTGGTTCTGCTCCGTTTCTTCCTCCTCTTCCTCTGTCCTTCCACGTCACTGCATGGTGGCAAATGCTTCTCCATCTCCTTGTCTTGCTGCATGAACAGTTCTCCTGACTTCGCAGCCGATCCCAGGAAGCCTTTTAAAACATCCTCCACTTCACTCCCTAAGTTCTTCCAGCGGAGTCTCCCAGCTCTGCCCCACATCCAGAGTAGGGTCTGCATCACTTGCCGGTCAGTGGTGGTCACACAGCAGGCACCAGGCCGGGTGACGTCCAGGTCAAGGGGCTGGAGCAGGTGGTGTCTGAGATGAAATAGAGCCTTGACCTTGTCATTTTCCCAGCAAACAGATTCAGGATGACCAGGTGCACTGTCTGTCATTGATAAGGCTTTAAATTCCAACCCTTCCTGTCCGAGTCAAAGGGCAGCAGCGTCTTCCTTGGCAGGCAGTCTCGCCTGCGGTTTCCATGCTTTCAGTCCAAACCTGTCCCTGAATCATCCCTCAGGTGCAGCGAGTGACTTGGTGCCCTTTGTTGCAGGGGACCCTTGCTGAAGGCTTCCCGGGCTTCAGGCTTCTGCTGCAGCTTGCTGCTGTCCTTGGAACATGTTCCTGCCTTCTACCCACAAGTATTTTAAACCTTTTCCATCTTAACTAGGCCCCTGGGATGCACTGTGGCTGGGACTTCTGCAGGTTGAGGTGTGACAGCAAAAGAAGCAGTACTCCTATTTCCTTCTTCACATTTTTGTGGACAGATTTGTTTTTCACCCAGATCTAACAACTTGGCCTGAGACTTGCTTTCCTAAAGTGGAGAAGAGTCTCCTTTTCACTTAAAGGGAGCACTTTAAAGCTTCTCTTTGGTATATCCAGATTGCCAGAACCACTACTCTTTTGCTTTTGGATCATTGTAAGTAAAATAAAGGTCACTTGAAGACAAGCACTGTGACACCAAGATAGTCCATCTGATAACAGACAGCCATTCAGTGATGCGAGGGTGGGTAGTGCATACAGTGTGGATACTGTGCCGAGGAATGCTTCGTGCCAGGCCAGACAGTGTGAGATTTCATCCTGCCACAGTGAGAATAACATATATTTTGAAATTTATGATTTACTTATTTTTGGAATTTTCTGTTTAATGTTTTCATACCATGGTTGACTGTGGGTAACTAAAACCTCAGAATGTAAAGGCACAATTAAGGGAGACTACTTTGTAATCTTCATTTATTATTATTTCAGAGTGGATGGGTGGGGTTGGGATAGAGGACTGYATCCTATATATACTCTTAAATATTTCTAAAACTCTTAATGTGATTAGTATATAGCATAGGTGACCAGTAAATTTTGCCTTGTCTGAAAGTTCTTTGTACAATAGGAAGGAATAGGCCTCTAGATGTCCACCTATGGGGCATTATCAGTGTGCTATCAGCATCCAGCAAAGAGCTTATCGAATAGATTGTTACGTGTGCTTCTGATTGTTTTACTCTTAATTTTTTCTTTTGCTTGAAGGAAATATTTCACTGTCACACAAATAACTTTTTCTTTTTTCTTGTGTAGATGTGAACAGTTCCCCGTCCAGAGCCCCCGTTTGTGGAATTTTTGTGGACTTTGCCACAGCCTCGCACCGTCAGAAGAGCCGGATTCAGGCCCTTAAGCAGAAGTAGGTGTGCGGGGAGACGGCGGGGGTGCTGAGGGGCTCCGGGGACTTTGCAAGCAGAGCTTCCAGTTTATTTTCGGTGTGCCTGTTTGGGTGTGGGGGTGATCTGCTCCACACTTCTGTGGTCTCTACTGGACCCTCAGCCTCCGCTTGCGGCTGTTAGAAGGGCCCTGGAGTTCACGGTCTACTCTGGCTGACGCAGAATCCCAGTCGCACATTTGTGGGCGTCAGGTCAGAATCCCGCTAAGCAGATGAGCCTGGTTTGTGTGGCCCTGCAACTTGGCAAGGCCTCGCTCGCTCRCCTGAAGGAAGCCTGAGAGTGCATGTTCTTTACCTCCACTTCCAGATGCGAGAGTGCTGCTCTCAGGAAACACGTGTTACAACTTGTTTTTATTTTTATTTTTTTGAATCCACRGGCATTTAACCACTGAGCTATGTCCCCAGCCCTTTTTTTAAAATATTTTCTTTAGCGACAGGATCTCACTGATTTGCTAAGTGCCTTGCTAAGTTGCCGAGGTTGGCTTTAAATGCATGGTCCTCCTTCCCAGCTGTTGGGATTACAGGTGTGTGCCACCACGCCCAGCCTGAGGCTGGCTTTGAACTTGCAGTTCTCCTGCCTCAGCCCCCCAAGCCACTGGGATCACAGACATATACCACTGCGCCCAGCTACAGTTTATTTTTATAAGGAACCACTAGGTGCTGTGCTCCTCAGGTGTCACCCCAAATCCAGATAAGAATTGAGGCTCAAGGTTAACAGCTATTGAATTGTAGAGCTGAGTTTTGAACCCAGAGCTGCCAGATATTGAAGTCCAACCTTGTAATTAATGTAAATTTGTGAATTTGGAAAATTTAGAAATTTATATTCTGAAGTCAAGTCTATTGTATTAAACCTAAATGGGACTGAAAATAATGAAAAAAATAATTTTTAAAAAAGCAGGTCTAAAATTTACGTCACTTGCTCAGTGCATGGCCTTAGTAACACTCAATAGCTATTTGCTGAGTGAACACATAAATCATTAATAAAATAGCAGCTTCACCACAGTTTTGTTGCCCTTATATTCTGAGCCCCACTGAAGCTCCTGCTGTGTGGCTAAGCTTTTTACAAAACCTGATTCAAGTTGCATATGGTTCAACACAGTTTTTCTAACTCATATGATCCAAACTATACAGTGTGTTGTTTGGACGCATATAAATATGAGATGAAATTTTATTTTGTAAAGTGAGAGGATGCAAGCTTGATGGTCAGCAGGGCAGTTGCTGTGCCTGGGCAGCTGTAGGCTGGTGCATGGCTGGGTCTGGGTACAGGTCCTGGGAGGTCACATATAACTTGATCCAGTCAGGAGAACAAAGCCACTGTAGGTGCTGACCACAGGGAGGATATGAAGGCAGCTGGTGGCAGGTGCAGCAAGCTGCATGGCTTAGCAGGGGACCAGAGGGACCAAGAGCCCAGCAGCTTCAGGAGGCCACACACCTAGATTCATGCACTTTTACTGGGTCATTCCAACAACCACTGAATACCTCAGCCTCGGCCTGGCAGGACAGAAGTCGGGCCCTTGCCAGTTTGCTGCAGCTAGCCATAGACCCCTTTCATCCTCCCTGCACCCCGATGTGTGTTCTCAGTTTAACTTTGTCTTATTTCCAATTTGTTTTAAAGGACACGAAGTACAAAACTACTTCGGCTTATCGACTTAGATTTCTCATTCACTTTTTCTCTCTTGGATCTACCACCAGTAAATGAATACGACATGTATATCAGAAACTTCGGGAAGAAAAATACCAAGCAGGTTAGTATAAGATGTCTTAAATAAGGGCCAAGGGCAAGGCCTTAACCAAGGCCACATGCAAGGCCAGTGCAGCCTTTGCATGATTGTTGTTTATGCCATGATATACTTATTTTTGACATAAACACAAGACATTTCTTTAATGAGTTTTTCATACTAATTTTTACGCCTTGCCCTAGTGAATTTTCTTGGACTTACTATATGTATGTCATGACTTCTCGAAAACAACTTCAGCCTCCTACTAAGTTGATTCCAGTTAGATCCAGAAATAGTCAGGGCTGGCAGGGTTTTGAAGGCAGACGTCCTGTCTTCCATGTACATGGGTACTATCAGTCTTCACCTGGTCTACTGGGCACCCTCATTACAGCAGCAAGGCCACAGTGTGGCCCTAGTAGCCGACAGCATGCATCCTGACTGGCAGCTCACTTACTCGGACCTTGAGCAGATTATCTGATTCTTCGCCTGTTCTCAACTAATCTCAAAGCGATTAGTAACACAACTGCCTTTATTGAAGCATGGTACCTTTTTGAAACACAAAAATTATGCTTGGTTTTGCAAAGCCAGAACATTTTGAAGTATGTGTGTAGGCAAGGAAGTAGTATTTTTAAAATGAAGGCACATTGTTGGACGTGACACTTTGGAAACACTGTTGAAAATCAAACCTATGTTTATCAAATGTCTTGGACACCAGCAGCCTTTGCATGATTGTTGTTTATGCCATGATATACTTATTTTTGACACAAACACAAGACTTATCATTATCTTTTAAAAATCTTGTCATTTTCATCAAATGAAAATTTGTTCTGAAATTGAGACCAAACATTAATTCCAACACACCTTTGTCTCTAAGGCATACATTCAGTATAATGAAGATAATGTTGACAGAGACGCTCAGACTGAAGACATAGAGACCAGGGATGTGTGGACCCAGCACCCAGGAGAAGGTGCCATCGTGTATGGAGGTAAAACTTTGTGATTGACTGTTGAATGTCCGCTGTCTTAACAATCTTTTTGTTTTATTTTTGCTTATTTTCTTTCTTTTTTGTTTTGAAACTTATTTCCTTTTTTGTTCCTTCTTATTATGTGTTTCTCTTTTGTATGGTTCTTAGTGTTAGACTATGGAAATACATAGTATTCTTTAAAAGAAATGGACTCAGTGAGGCAGTGACTGCATTGGAGCTGCTGACGGAGAAGGTTCAAACCTGAGCCTGTCTGGACCTGGGAAGGTGCAGTCCCGACCACTGCTCAGGACTGCACTGGGGGCACCCACTCCACCTGGGCGTGTCACGCCCTGCCCTTAGGATGTCACTCTTTAGGTGGTGTCTGCAGATATGTCCCTCAAGACAGACCAGAGGTCCCTGGAATAGAGGGCTCGTGCTGGGTGTGCAGCTGTTTACATGTGACATACATTATTGGTTGTTTTTCTTGAGGAATTTTCTCATATGGCAGGGAATCAAACTGCTCCCTTTCCCCAGGTAAACCCCATTAAGAAAATCATGCAGGTGAGTTTCCTTTGTCTTAAATGCTTGAGACCATAAGTGTTTCAGGTTTTAGATTTTGAATTAGGGATGTTCACACACTTAGATAGTAAATTAATTCTCTTTCATGACTTTTCTTGAGATATTTATGTAAGGTTGAATTTATAGACTTCCCATAAACAATATACAGTTATTTTTAGAAAAAATTACTAAACTATCTGCAGGATATAGTGCAAAGTTTTCTGACTTTTCTTCAGGATTCTTACTATTCACCTGTAACATCTTGACTCAAAAGATTTGTAGGTATGACCATGTTATAGTCAATTGTATTGATTTGCTGTCATCTGTTAGGTAGTAAAGAACGGGAATTCTGTGATGCTACAGTTGTACCCAAGATTGACACTCCAAGGTTATCCAGCTTTCTCCGGGCAGCATGTCAGGTATACTCTGTAGTACTTTCTATTCTATGTGCCAGTGCATAAAGTTGCATTAGAAACAAAGAAGCTACTGAAACCCTGGAGCTTTAATGGGTTAGATACATCAGAATCAGGTATTCATTTTCAGGTATTGTTTTCTAACAAAATATTAGTGTTACATTTATTAAACCAACATGCAAAATGATGCCCTGAAGGTATTATATACCACTAGTAGTACTACCTGTGTATTTGGATTCTGTATTTTAATAGTAGTTTCTTATATTTTAGAATAACTATAGACTAAGAATCAAAATATTAAGTTGGCAAAGCAAGCATAAATCTAGGCTATTTGAAGATRATACAACTCATAATATTTTAAAACTTACTTTCCTTAGGGTTAAAATATGTACCAAGGAAGGGAATAGTATTGTGAAGCTCTGCACATCACAGGTTACCTCAGGGACATTATCTGGTTCGACATATCCTTCTCATCTCCTTAAGCCCCCACCAACCTCATCAATAACAATCACCATCATCATAAATACCCCTCCATAAACTTTTCTATATAACTCACTCAAGAAAAGGATTTTCTAAAAAGTCATTAGGAATAATTTCTAAAAAATAAAATAAGAAGTCAATCTTCAAATTTTCTCAGTTGTTTCATAAATTTATTATGTGTGATCAGAATTTAAATCAGAGCAGAGCTAAAGAACATGACATTGCTGTTTTGATGACATCACATCCATGACTCCCAATGATTACTGAACACATGGTAGTTACTGCATCACAGCGTCACTGCTACTTGGGATGAGGGATTAACACTGATSAAGTTTGACAGAATCTTTTTGTTACAATCTAATTCTTGGTCAGTGTAAATGTCTTGGGATTAAAACCTAGCCCTTGTAAAGAGTGGGAGAGCGAGAAATGGGATGCATACAGAGTAAGAGGAAGAGGGTGGAAAGTCACCATATATCATGCCTGATCACACGTGGCTCCTTTAACACTAATCACCTGCAGCTAAAAACAGTTCTCTCATTTCTAAAGAGAAAACCTTGCAGGTCTTACCTTCTCCATTCCCCTCAGTATTCACTGAACCTTCAGCTTACTCTGCGGCCTTATGAAGAGTACTCGCCCAGCCTCCTTACCC